AGGAGGAGGAGGAGGAGGAGGAGGAGGAGGAGGAGGAGGAGGAAGACAACTATGTGGTCCTTGGTGCTCTCTGAGCTTGGTTATTTTCTTGCAGATATTTCATGACCAAACTAGGTCATCAGTCTAACATCCTAGATCCCACCATACCTTCTCTCATTGTCATCAAGGTGAGCGAAGAGGACGTTCTTGGAGATGGCCTTAGCTAAAGCTGTCATAGTCTTATAGTCCTTTGGAATAACCTGGAATGGAAAAGGGAGGAGCAGAAAATAAAGTTAGGAGCAAGCAGAACTCCAGATGATTAGTAAGAGATCAGTCCAAGGCTCCGGTTGCAACCTTTGTAGGAAAGCCATGTTAATGCATAACAGCCAGAAATTAAAGACATTTAATTAAGAGTTTTGTATTTGGACTAATCAAAGGAAAGCAATCACAAAGCCACTCCATAATTCCAGACCTGAGTTAAGCTTCCAAAAATGGCTTTGAGAGAACGTTGAGAGAATTATGAAATGGCTTCATCTCAAATAAAAGGCAACGGTGCCATGAGCATCAAACATCATCTAGAAAATGCTGATTTAACCTATCAGGGTTTCTTCTAACGTAATTGAACCAACGGGGGTGGGCCAGAAGCAAATCAGAATTAGCTTGTAAGGAGTATCTAATGGGAATGTTGTTGTTTTTTAAAGGCTGAATAGCAAATAATTCAGCATCTGGCAGAAGTTAATATTATTTCTTCAAATGCATCTTAAGCAGCGAGATGCATTAATTATTGAACTTGGTTCTGAAAGTTGGGCAGTTGCCAGGTTTACTTCACTGAAATGCTGGGACAGAATATAGATTTGATTTGGTATTAAAAATCAGGAGCGAACATCACAGAATCTATCCATAAAAATCCTTCTGGGCATTAATGGCTATTTTTGGGGACCTGACCAAGCTTTCTTGGGGCAGATGTTCTGGAGAGCATCTGGGTACTTTTCTTTTATAAAAACACAAATTGATAACATCTCAGCCCAACATTCAAAGGCTAATAGGGGTCCCCGATCCATAAGAAAAATTAGCTTTGCTAAATAAGTCGGTCTTTTGATGTATGAATGTACCTTCCAGGCAGTTTTGGATTCCTGGAGACTACCTGGAAAAGATCCTGCAATTTTCTTGGCAAGGTTTTTCAGGACTGGTTGGCCATTGCTTCCTTCCCAGGGCAGAGAGAAAAGGACTGGATCAAGGACATCCATGCCTAAGGCAGAACTAGAACTCACCATCTCCTGGTGATTGGCCCAAAGTCATCCACTAACTTTCATGCCTAAGGCAGGACTAGAACCCACGTTTCCTGCTTTAACGCTACACCCAGTTAGGTTTTGATGTCTCCTGAAACACAATTTCCATGCATCATTTATAGCAACCATCCGAGAATAACAATATAGTGTTACCTTCCGGACATAAGACACTGCGTCTTCTTCTGTGTAGACCTCAGCACTGACCCCTCCCCTTCGATGTCGGGCTTTGACCACTGGATTGGGTGGCGGAGGAGAAACCTCATCATCATGAGAATCTGACTGAGAGCTGGATTTCTGCCAAGCCTGGATCTGTTTGCTTTCTTCCTGTGAAGGCGAAAGAAAGCCAGAGAAATTTGGTTCTTGTGGCCATAAAGCCATAAAGCTCACACAGGAATCCTTGACTTAGGACCCCAGTTGGAAGCCAGAATTTCCCATTGCTCTGCAAAACAACTGTTGAGCGAGTCACGCCCGATTTGGTGACCGGTTTCCCCACGGTTGTTAAGTGAGCCACTGCAGCCATTAAGCGAATCGCACGGTCGTTGAGCAAATCTGGCTTTCCCCCCATGGAATTTGCTTGTTGGAAGTTGGCTGGGAAAGTAGCAAATGGCGATCCCGTGACTGCACATGACTCCTAGGACATGTTGCCAAGCTCCCAAATTTTGATCATGGGAATTCTGCAATCCCAAATGCAAGGACCAGTCCTAAGTGTCCTTTTTTTCAGTGCCCTTGTAACTTCAAACCATTGCTGAATGATTGGTCGTAAGTCAAGGACTACTTTATACATCGTGCCCTCCAATCTTCATTTCCAGTTCTTCTGAAACAAAGCTTTAGCCAAGTCAGTCTTTGCATATTTTAGCTGGAATGAACGAGACTATTTAGAACGGTGGTCGCCAACCAGTGGGCCGGGAACACAAGGCTGCACCATCCACATGGCCCGCCGGAAGACAAGGCTTGGGTCACTTGCATTGTGAACAACATGAGGTAGTGAGGGAAGGGGGGAAAGGGTGGAGGGGGGGAACTTGCCCCATGTGCCCCATGCGCCTGGCCTGGCCACCGGGCTGCTTCTTTCCGCTTCTTTCTTCTGCTTTTGGCTGCACGCAAAGAAAGCAGCCAAAGTCTTTCTTTCTCTCCCCCAAACTCTGCCACAAATGGGTCTTTGGGACCCTGCAAGGCCTCCTGCTCCAAGAGGCTGCGCCGGCACAAAAGACTCCTTTCTGGCAGAGTTTGGGGGAGAGAAAGAAAGACTTCTGCGGCTTCTGCTGCTTTCCTTGCATGAAGCCAAAAGTCTCTTTCTCGCTCTCTCCCCTCCCGAGAATGGAGCTGGAGACAGTATCCTGCGATCCCAAATAAAGAACGATCAATCGGTAGGAAAACGGGGTGGGGAATTTTCCTGCTGACTTTTGGGGGGGATTTTCCCAGGGTCTCTGGTCTGGGGGATTTAAAATTATGAGTTTGGTGGTCCCTTTGAATGGCAAACTCCCAAAACATTATATATACAGTATATAAATGTGCATATATATCCAAGATAATAGACACTCTAAATTATTACTTTTGGAGATATTTACAGGATCTTCACAAGCGAGCTGTCCCACAAATACCAAAATGCCGCAGAAGAATAGTTGGGCAGATATTTGTCCATCCATCTATTCCCACCACCTGCAAGTTTGCTTTTCACATAGTTTTTGGGAACAGCCAACATGGTATAACTTTATTTTTTTTAAAAAATCCAGATTTTGTTCTATTGTACTTTATTAATTTATTTGATTCTTTTTGTTAGTTTTTATTGTGTAATATGGTTTTACGTTCTGTAAGCTGCCTCGAGTCACCATGGTGAATAGGCGGCAATATAAATTCAATAAATAATAATTAATTAATTAATAATAATAATAACAACAACAACACCCAACTGGGATTCACAATGCATTGTTGTGCCATGTGTGGTCATGCCAAACCCTTCCCAAGTCTTTGCTTGGTCTCATATTACGTTGAGGAGATAATTTAGGAAATGTGTCTACTAAATAGAAGGCTGTGGAGGAGGAAACATATCGAGTATCCCTGGCCTGAAGAGCAGACATGTGGTTAATTATCATCTTAATCAGCTGGTCATAGGGAGTCAGGAAATGACTTATGGTTTGCTCATCCGAGATAATAAGAGAAGTCAAGAGAAGTACCTTAAACTGCTTCTTAATGCAGTGGCACCTTCCCAAAAGTCCCAGGAACCATCCATGTTCAAAGTTCTTATTAGCAACATTTTTTATGATTGTCTCGTGGGGGGAAAAAGTGCATTAATAGACCAGTTTTGTTCTTTCTCAGGGAATTGTTCTCCAAAATGGGTACTAGGTAATTCTAAGACTGTCTAAATTCAGACCATCCTTTTTACCGGGGTGAGGAATCACAACACACCTCCCACAAGAAGCCTTCAAAGATATATTATGATGCTATGCAAGACCCTTCCATGTTTTTCCACTACTCACTAAATTCACTGGCATGGGATTATCTTCCAAGAGGTATCCTTTTGGCGAAATTCTCCTAGGTGTTGGTCTGACGCTTAGGGAGAAGAGGACCAAAATAAGTATACATGCGAATGACCTTGATTAGCACATCAGCCCCCCACAACCCTTGGCTTCCTATTTTTCCCAGTTAATCCCAAAGGAAAAACAGGAGGACAGAATTCTTCCCATTGGACATTCTCCTTTAAATATAAAGATGGGCTTTCTGATGCTAAGATCTGTAAAGGGTGGAACCAGCTAGGTTGTCTATCTCAGGAGGCTTTTAGGATGAGGTTGAACAGCCACCACGTGTTCAAGAGTTGTACTAGATCACTGTTGTGGAGAGTTGATAGTACCACTTTATACCACACTAATAGGGACACACTTGGAGTAGAATTTGGCCACCACAATATAAAAAAAGATGCTGAGATCCTGGAAAGGGTACAGAGCAGAGTAACAAAGTTGATAATGGGTCTAAGATGCTAACTTGCATGAGGAACAGTTGAGGGAGCTAGGTTTGTCTAACTAACCAATCGATTGGGGAAGACTGGGGGGGGGGACATGATAAAGGTCTGGAGAGGCTGTCCCAGAGAAGAGGGGGTTGACTTCTTCTGCACAGCACCTGAGAGTAGGACAAGGAGTAATGGATGGAAGCTTGCTAAGGAGAGATCCAACCTAGAGCTAAGGAGAAATTTTGTTGACAGCGAGAATAATGAATCAATAGACTAGCTTGACTTCCAGAGTTGTGGGGGCTCCATCACTGGGGTTTTTCCAAAATAGACCGGACAACCATTTGACCAGGATGGTATAAGTTCTCCTGCCTTGAGCAGGGGGTTGAACTAAAACAGTGGTCACCAACCAGTGGGCCAGGGACCATTGGTGGTCCACGAGGAAATTTTGGTGGTCTGCAGAGAAATGTCACCCCCAAAGCATGGGACCCTGCAAGACCTCCTGCTCCAAGAGGTTGCGCCGGTGATACAAGTCTCACAAAGACTCATTTCTGGCGGAGTTTGGGGGAGAGAAAGAAAGACTTCTGCTGCTTCTGCTGCTTTCTTTGCATGAAGGCAAAAGTCTCTCTCTGTGTTTCTCTCTCTCCCCCTGAGAACGGAGCTGGAGATGATATCCTGCAATCCCAAATAAAGAATGATCGATCGGTAGGAAAATGGGGTGGGGATTTTTTCTGCAGACTTTTTCGGGACTTTCCCAGGGTCTCTGGTCTGCGGGATTTAAAATTATGAGTTTGGTGGTCCCTGAGGTCCAAAAGGTTGGCGACCCCTGAACTAGAAGACCTCCAAGGTCCCTTCCAGCCCTCCCATTCTATCTTCAATGTTCTTCCAACGCCATCGTTCTATGATTCTACAATTCTCTTCTAGGAATGATGGGCAACCCAGAAGAAAGGAAAAAAAAAAGAGGTGTAACAGAACACCATTGTAGAACCCCATCCAACAAGTAAGTCAGCCCAAACTGTCCCCATGGAAACCCTAAAGGCCTTCCCAAACCCTCCAAAACAGAAGTCAGAAACTAGGAGCCTCTCGCTCAACAGAAGAAAACTTGTGAGAAGCACAAATCCCAGCACATCGCTAGTACGGGTCTACCAATGACAGCGTTGCACACTCAGGCACACACAATTCTCTAAGAAGTCCAAGGGTGTGACACCACAGCATCCACTCTGAGGAAGCAGTGGGAAAGCCATACCTGTATCATTGCCGTTAAGGATTGCTGACCTGCCACATCAAACATGTTCCCAGAAACCACAGCAGAGCAGAGAGATAGGAAACCTGATTTCCTCCCAGGCCATCTGCCCACCTCAGGCCATGCGAGAGCGCCAAACGGCAACACGCCTCCTCATCTTCAAAACATCCCCTCTTCTCCCCACCCATCAAGGCAGCTCCGTCATCATTGGAAGGACGGGATCGTCGGGATTCAGCTGGCTTGGGTCCACGATTCAGAAATGCAGGAGGTTTTCAACCAGCTCCCTGAAGCTGAGAAGCCATGTTCATCGCAAGGAAAAGCAAAATCTCCCCGTTCTGCATAGGAGGTTTCCCAGGTGGAAAAATACTGCAGAGTTCACCTCTGGCTCGCTAATATTTGGAGAGTCACCATCATGTCATACATACTTTGACCTCAAATTCTGAAGCCTTCCCTGAAGGCTGCCTTGTAAAGACCCTCAAGGACTTTTTTCGCTAATGTCCTTCCTTCTGTCCGGTGATCAATTGATGATCAATATCCCCAGCTCCTACCCCCCCACCCCCTTTCTTAGATTCAAAACACGCTTTGCAAGATCCTCCCTCGATAACATGCATCGCTGAGACGGACGAGCTTAAACCTCAGCCTCTCTAAGAGAATTTGAAAAGCTTGAAATAAAAATATTCAAACCAGAATTAATCAATGGCTCGCTCTTACAAGGCACCGGTGAAATAGCAGAGGGCATCCTTCAGAAGGAAAGGAGAAAGGTTCTAGAAGCTGCAGCACGATTAACCCGTAGCTAGCTCTTCAACCTCCACCCCACTCCAGATGGGAAATAGAAGCACAAGCAAGTTACCATATAGTTCTGTTCCTCTCTGTCTTTATAAGAGCATCTCTGCTACACAACTCCACTGTCAGCTGGTGCAAATAAGAGACAGGCTAGCATTTCTATGCATTGCTAATTCACTGCTAGGCATCAGAACTGCTCTCTTAAATGTTTCCAGCCCACAAGTCTCAAGTATACACCAGGATCCACAGATAAGTTGTCGTTTTTTTTAAAAAAAGAACATTCCTTAGGACTTTAAACACATACACATGCCTTTTGCCATCACAGATACATTCATTCTCACCCCTAAATTGTAAATGTAC